TGGCAGTCTATAAACTTACCAGGGGGAACCAGAGGGGAATGGGTGAAACACTGTTCCCCTGAGCATCTCCCAGAGTAACAAGGAATAACGGCTACAAGCTGATTGAGAGTAGGTTCAGGCTAGACATCAGGAGGCACTACTTCACAGTCAGGGCAGCCAGGATCTGGAACCAGCTTCCAAGGGAAGTGGTACTGGCTCCTACCCTGGGGGTCTTTAAAAGGAGGCTTTATTACTACCTAACTGGGGTCATATGAGCTTAACTTAGTGAGGGGTCATATGAGCCCAGTATTCATTCCTGCCCATGGCAGGGGGTCAGATTGGATGATCTGCTCAGGTCCCCTCCAACCCTACATCTATGAATCTATGAACTACTCTTTGACTGTTTTTCCTCAATGGTTGTACACTGCATTTTTTGTAATTTTATCTATAAAAAAATATAGCTTATGGGTATGTGCAGACATTAGACTTAGTGCAACCTAACCCTGCTTAGCTTAATTAGGGTTAGGTCAATCTAAAAGCTGATCTGTACAAACATTTGGGGAAGTTGGAGTGGACAAAAAAAAATGGCTGGCTCTATCCAACTTAGTTCACCTGAAGAAGTGCACTAAGTTATATCTGGCGTAGGCTAGCCTGATCTATCAAATGTCTGCACACATTTGGAGTGAAGTCCTACGAATAGGGAAGCCCAGCCACTTGCCCCAGCCCTGAGGCTGTGCTCTTCCTACTCCTTTCCTCCCTGATCAGACTACTTTTAGCCTCCCAATCTCCCTTTATCCTGGACAGACAAGCTGCTCCCCTGCCAGAAACACCGACCATCCTCCTGGACCCCACATCCCCTCCCCAATTCCACCAACTCCCTTTGCCTGGACATATGAAACTCCCCTGAGGACATCCTACCCCCTTCCCCCAATCCTGTCTGCCCCTTCCCCTACCCCAACTTACTTAGATTGCATTCCTGGTGTGGCTCCCAGCATTGGCAGATGTCTGCTCAAACAGTACCCAATCTATGATCATACAGCTGAAAGTAAGCCATGGAATTGTAGAATTGGGTCCTGGCAACATCTGTATGTGCCTTATATTATCATAATCTATATAATTATAGATTTCCATTTAGTGGCCTGGTTTTTGAAGTGACATAAAGCCTCTGTGGTTTTTATGGGGCCTTAACATTTATTAGGGTAATAATCTTGAGATGCTGGATAGCTCTTTGCTGTCCTCTGTTCAGATCCGGCCAAATTAGAAGCTGTCAGAATTACCATCACTCGGAAGTTTACATGGGAAAGCTCAGTTTTTGGCAGCATGCACCAATATTTTTATGTTCTGTGCATCAACAAGTAGCATTTTACTACAAAATTTTATATGTAGAGCAAATCACTCTCAGGACATACACAAAACTGAGCAGAAAAGGAGGAGAAAGATTATTCTCCTCCTACTCACCCCCATCAAAATATACTTTTGTTTAGTATAAGTACACTCTGTTGGGAACGAGGAGGCCATGAGTTCTAGGGCTACTTGTAGTCTGGTTTATATTCTGAAGTGTGAGAGTTTATAACACTTCCAAAACCTTTGAAAGTGTTGTAAATACTCTAATCTGTATAGTCTTCTTTTCCAAGAAGTATCCAGGCCTTTCCTGAAACCTGCTAAGCCCTTGCATTTAAAATATACCTTGTGCCAATGAATTCCATAGGCACACATCCATTTTGTGAAAAATGTATTTCCTTTTACTGGTTTAAATTTTCTCATTTTTAGTTAACTGGATGGTGTTTTATTTTTTTTCTACTTGGAGAAAGGATGTATTGAAATCTCTTATCTACCCCTTCTGTACCATTTTTATTTCTATTTTTAGTATATGCTGCATATTTACCTCCTCTATAAATAACTAGTTCAAAGCTTGTAAACCTTTTTTTCATATGCATATTTTTTCAGACCTTTAGTAATTCTTGTCACTTATCTTTGAACCACTTCCTTCATGAGTATGCGTATATATACATGTGACATTAATTCAAGGACTATTTATGCAATTCATTTAAATACTTATTGTGACAGGGAGCCAATCCATCTCAGGGCTGGGATCTTACATTGGCCCGCCCACCTGTCTTAGTAGGGCAGTCTGCCCAGTCTCTCCTGCCATGACTTTGCTTTTCCCCAAACTGCTGTATAAATACAGGAGGCTGCCCATTTTAATGCCCCAATGCCAGGGGTTGCTGTACACAACTCTGACCTCCCCTCATGGTGTGCCATATCTCACAGATGGCATCCAGTTTATTATTACAGCTCTGGCCTGAGGCCAGGCCAAATGCAGTTCATTGTTAGGCCTCTCTCACATTGCCTTGTTCTGAGCCTCACTCGTACTTCCCCTTTCACTGAAGCTTCAACCACTCTGGCCTCTATCACCAGGCCTCTTACACACTGCCCCTTACTGGGCCATATACACCCTAACCTGCTCCCTTGAGTGGCTCCTGTAGGCCATCAGGCTTGTCTCTTCGCTCCTTGGCTGGCCATGGTGCAGCCTTTCAGACCTCTCCCACAACCCTCATCTTAGAGATGACCAGCTAATTTACAAAACTCTGGGCTGATTCTGCCCCTAAGCCCTCACTGGGTGACTTTCTACATTCATATACTCTGGGGGAGGTGAGGAGGTTTGGCCCATGTGCTGTCCTTGTGGCCATCCTTCAGCCCTACTCTACACTATGTTTACATACAGTCCTTCAGGTTGTGATGACGCCCCCTACTCTGTGTGGGCCCAACATATAATACTGCCCCCTCTCTATCCAGGCCATACCTCTGTCCCCTCCCTGGGGTCTCTGGGGTCTTTCACCCTTGTGGGGCTCCCATGCCTATCCCTAAGCCTGGGTAACCCACCAGGGTATGGGGGCTGGGGTTTTGAGGCGCCCCACCTCACCTTTCACTGGGGAGATAACTGGCCTGGCATTTTTGGGGGGACTGTCCCACCACAGACAGCCCCACCAGACCACCCTTCCCTGGCAAGGTGTAGTTTTCAGTCATACCCAGGACCAGGAGCCTCCTGCCATCCGCATAGCTCCTGCCTTCACCTCCAAGATGTTCCAAGCAGGAGCTCAGCTGGATGCTGCCTCCTTGGCTGCTAGCAGCAAATTGCTGGCCCAGCCCTGTGGGCTTGAACCTAAAATGGCTGTCTCATCAGGGCTAGCCTGCACCTGCAAGCTGCCTGTTCTGAGCCTTAAAGTGTCAGGCACCCAAAAGTGCCCTGCCACAGATATATAGAAAATATTAAAATCCTCTGAAAAGGTCATAACACAGTTATCTTGTTTTCTGCATATTTATGTGAACTGTAAAAATGTATTTGTGACCATCTATTTGAACCACATTTTCACTCTTTCTAATGGCTTAGTAAATTAAACAGCAAACGACCCTGTTTATTCATTTTCCAAAACAATTTTCCACAAGTAAAATTTTATTCACAATAAAAATAATGGTAATTAGAATTGTTTGATTATTCCTGGACACGACTTTTTGTCTTGACCCAGAACTTGGAAAACTAAGGATCATCCAATCAGGAATCAGCAATAATATAGTGTGCTTTAACTGAGTTATATCACACTATGTAAACCATTAATACTCGATGTAAAAATTATGACCAATAATTTGTGAGAGTGCATGGGTAGTAATATGCTTGCATAAACAAGTCAACCAGTCATTAGATATTTTTGAGTAATGAAGACAATAGAAAGTCAAGTCTGTTTGCAGATAATCCAGAAACAATAAAAGAGATTTAAAAGTTAAATGAATTCATCACTGCAAATAAATCATCCAGCTCTGTTCCTTTTGAGCAATGATCGGAGAAGAGACCTGAAACCGCACGGTCTTGCAGCCTTCATTTTATATAAAGAGAACTGTAATCCAATACCCGAGAAAGGTCACCAGTCTTTTTGCTGTCAGATACTAGTTGTGTCCTGGCAGGGGTAACAAAATACAACCAAATAAATGGGACATCATCAGGACCTACTGTACTAGGAATATTGATTTAGTACTTACAATTGATCTCATTAGATCTTACCCTCACCTTACACTTGGGGGATGGGGTCGCATGGGTGCTAAGGCATAAGGTTGACAGCCCTGAGGTTTGAGGCCATAGCAGAAACACTCACGGCATGGCCCTGTTAGATTCTAACAAATCTAAATACTTTGTCACAAGGACATAAGAAGGAAGGAAGGACGTTATACTTACTGGTTCTGGTGTCCAAGTCTGGTCAAGCTGTACTTGATGTGGGTTTTATACCATATTTAGATGATTTTTTTCCCCTGATTCTGAAACCATCCAGTGGTCAATCTGGCCCTTCATACACCTTAAATTCTGCTGGTTGGTAACAGTTCCACAGGGATACTATTATGGCCAAAGTTGCCTATAATCTGAGGCTAAGAGGGTTACACTTCTTATGGTTTTCCTGTGAGACTATCACTGAGGGCTTCAAGCATGGTTTGCGTCCTACATCACTCTTAATAGGTGTAAATGACTAACCATCAGCTAGCAGTAATGCAAGGCAGTGGAGAATACATCTCCACACCCTCACAATGCTTTTCACATTGCATGACACATTTGTTCACTGTTCTACATGTAACCTGGGCCAGTTCAGCATATCACTGATAGTTTCAATTTGAAGCCATTGGCTACTACTTGTCGTTAAGAGTATTGGCACTATGAAGTTTTTAGGATTAATGCACGCTGGTTGCATGTACATGAGATGCTGACCATGCAGTAGCTTGTTACTACTGCACAGTAGCATCGAGTCATGCTTCATGCAGTGTGACGTTACTGCATAGTAACGAACTACTGCATAGTCAGTGTCATCTAAAAGCCGTTCAGTTATTGTGCAGTCATTTAGTGCTTGTTTAAACAAGTACTAAATGACAGCTCAGTAATGACTGTGTGGTCAGCATCTCATGTAGATGCAGCCACTGTGCTTCCTAGCTGAAATTCTGTTTCCTCTAATAAGATAATCAGCTGGTTTGCCAGAAAATACCTGGGTTTCTTCCTTGGGGCTGTTTTCATTCTTCTGAGACTGCACTGATTTCATTCCTTCAGGGTTTTGGGAATCAATCATCTCTAAGGATTTAATGCCCTAAAAGCAAATAAATAAGAAAATAAATAAATAAATAAAATCAAAAGAAGTGGAAGGTCACAAATATTGCTCATATCTATGAAGCTCTCCGGATGTACTTCACATACAGCTCTGATTCTCCAACATCAATTCACCACAATCCACAACTGAGAACAGGACAGTCTTTGACCTTTATGAATCTAAACCATGCGGCTTAGAGAAAACTGCATAACTTAGATTGATTCCACCTTGGGCTTTTTGAATGTCTGTACCTATCCTAGACAACTGTGCAGGGAATAAAGGCACCTAAGCCCCACACTTTGACCCACTGCACAATTTGCTTGGGTCACTGCTCTAATAAAAAAGGGGAAAAGAAAGCTCCATGACTTTCAAAATTCCATGGTGAGTGATTGGGCAGAGCCTTGGCTCTATTCCCCTCACCATAAAGCACTAGAAAAAAGGCAGTAAGTACTTTCCCCCCCACAGTTTCCCGAGGCTACTCCAAGGGCAGCACTGCTACAACTTAACATAAGATTTTAAGTTAGGTCCAAGTTTGCCCTGAATTTCTAAGTCTGTCTCCAAGAAAGGAACAATCCTGTTACTTGGTATCCCTGGATCCTGAAGTTCATCATGGGAAATCACTCAAAGCTTTGGGGGAATCAAAATAATAATTCTAAGGTCTAACTATTATGAAATAATAGTTCTATTTCATTAGAAATAGCTTACCATTTCTATTGCATCAACTCTTTGTCTCAGGGAAATAGCCTCCGCAATAGAAAAATCTTTTTTGGGATCCTTGGCTTCTGGAGTGGATGTTGATGGTTTCAATTCATCAGTCTAATGGGCAAAAATATTTGGTAGCCATTATTTCCCTGTTATAAAAAATCAAGGCCAATAAACTGGGATGTAGGAAGCCATGCTTTTCTTATGAAAACATGGATGCATCAACCCCAAAGTTCAACTTTATCACCAAACCTAAGCAGGATATGCACTCAGAAGCTTTCAAAGTGGGAACAGAGATTTTAATGGGTGTGAATCTCACAGTCTAACAGAGAATACAGGAGCTTCTATTTTGATATTCAGAGTTCAACTGAATTTTACTACCTTTGGAAGCAACTGTATCAGAGTATATTTTCCCATAGACACAAGGTCAATCACTTTCTAGTAGTTCCAGTAAAAATTGCATTTATACATCCCTTATACTGTATATTAATAATAAAAAACCCACAATCCTTTTTATCGTGTTAACTCAAAGACATGAATGTTCCCTCCTTTTTCTTTCCTAGAACCCTAAAGATGATAGGGAGGAGGCAGGCCCTTGGGTCTTCATACCATTATCTAGGAACCAGTGGAAAGTAAAAACAACAAGAATAAATAAAGCAAAGTATTAAACAGCATCTTCTGAAAATGACTTCAAAATACATGCATGCAATTATCTCAGGGCCTGATTTTCTCCTATAATATGAGGCAAAGCTATTAACATTATTGATTTTGTTAATGCTTTACCCTGATCATAGTGAGACCCAAGAACTGATGAGGGCTATTTTTACACACAGTGATCCAGGCCTTTCCCCTCATATAAGTACATTAATATTTCTCACCAGCTTATATCTGTTGTGCATCTCTATTCCCAAGAACCAAATCTAAGCATGCAAAGACCATGTATTCATTTATACCTGCTGGTTCAAGAGTTTGGATTTCCCTCTGCTGTTTGCTTCCACATCCTTCTGTTCAGCTGCAAAGTTGATAAGAGGGGCTGTTTTATATAAAAGAGGAAAAATACATAATATGCTTCAAATGTTTATCATAAAATTGGATATTATATGAGAAATGTTCTTAGAAAGTCATAAAGAATGGGCATAAAAACTTGAAATGATTTAAGTTTTTCAGTCTTTATAGGTTAGAACAATATAAGGTAGAGCAGAGAGAACAACTTAATGTGTTCCAAGCGTCTGTATCCAAAGAGGTGGGTTTTACAATTCTATATGCATATGCATAACAGAGATTGTATCTATTTCCTTTCATCCACATGGAAATTCCTCCTGAAATACACTGAAAATCCAACACATCTGACATTTAGTAAGTAAATATTTACAGAATAAAAAAATATAATTCCAAAAATAATTTTAAAATAGGCTTTGCTGCAAATTACACTGATTGATTGTCTGGATCATAATGGGATATAATTAGATACAGCACAAACCCAAATTAGTTAAACAAGACAACAGGGTGTGAGAGACAGAAAGGCCTTAAAAGCAGCAGATGAGGCTTGTAGAAAACCTATTGACTTAGGAAATGTCATTCATGAATGTGGTCTGACAGCAAAGTCAGGAAATAGTTGTCAGTCATCCCTCTACCTAATTATTGAATACGTATGAATTGCTGTACTATCTATGGCCTTGATTCAGAAAAGATTAACTTTTAAATATGTGTCCCAGATATCCTTCTGACCACTGTACATAAGCAAAACATGCTCCCACTCTGGATTGTTTATGACTGGTATATCATGGGAGAGCTAGCCTGGTTGGGAAGCCCATCTGCAGAGCAGACTTGGGGTAGAAAGCACCTTAACAACTTATATGAGGCACCATGGTAGCATTTTCAAACCAGAAGGGTTTTTGTTTGTGCCTTTTCACCTATTTTGTTTTGCTTTGTTTTAAAATCAAATCCAAACACAAATTGAAAAACTATGTTTTCAGGTATGTGTTTTTACTACAAAAAGTCCAAGTTTTCTATGGATATATTTCATACAAAACACTGTAAATAGAAAATCCTCAAAGGGGCCTAAAAGCTCAGTTCTTCAAAGGGTATTGTACAGCTTTTTGGTATACTATAGGAAGCAAGATTCTTAAGAACATCTTTAGACTTGATGGAGAACTATGAATTACTTACTAGAAGATAGGTCAGCAAATATCACACATGCCATAATTTGGAATAATACACATTTTTTTTTCCTGAGGAAACAACTGTACATCAAGATGAGCAAGACAAAACAGGCATTTCTGTTCAGCATTTTTTCACTGGATGTGGAACAATAGGTGTGTTTACTTAGAGACAAAGTAAATAGGCATGTGCAGGGAACAATTTACCTATTGCTCTCTCTAACAGTAGTCATCCATCTAGCCAAATGAGGGAGCACTTATCATTGTGGTGTCTGAGAGGCTTCAGTGGCTATCTTTAGATAGTATCACAATCAAATATGGGTAAGATTTTCAACTGTTCTCCATCAGACAAAAAAATACCCTCATCTCACCTTAGTGGCTCACATATCTTCAATTGGTGATTCCCCTGGAACTCAGTTTAATTATGTGCAGGCAGCAATGACTTTCCCTTGCTGAAGCAGTGGCATTAGTGTGAAATGAGTAGGGTGTTTTTCTATTGTTAGCAGTTGATCTGTAATAAGATGATCAACCACAGTTTTTTTAAGAAGGTTAATCATGGAATTTTTATGGATAGCAGAGAAATTATATGCTCCAGTTCACATTGATATCAGAGCACCATACTTATTGTTGAAGTAAGTAGATATTGATATCCATGATTGACATTCATGGAGTTTCACCTGTATGCACTCTAATCCCTGATTTGGAAAACATGCCTCTATAACATATCACTTAAGCGTGTGCTCAGCTTTAAGTCTGATATACTGCTAAAGACTCGCCACATTTTATGCTGTGAGTAAGAGTACTACTTAGCAGCTTGTCTTTTTAGCAGGTTTTTAACAAGAAGTTTTAACGCTTTTTTGCCAGTCACAGGTGAGGTATTCTTGGGTCACTACATTGACGATTCCCATTGTGGATTTAGTATTCCCTGCATACTGTAATCCCCCATTGTTAAGACAAGAAGAGTTGAAAATGTCAAAAGTACATATGGAAAGTTTAGCTCTTTTGTGCAAGATATTTCTAATATGCCATATTAGGCCATGATTCCAGAAGACATTTAAGCCTGTTTTTTTTAACAACCTCAATATTATACTTAATATCAACTACCCATTTGTTCTAAGTCAAATATGTTCTTAAAACTTCCCTGAACCAGTGAATTAGTAAATTGGGAAATGGAAATGGATATATATATAAAATGGAAATAGTGTGTGTGTGTGTGAAACAAAAAACTTTTGGAATGTAGGAACAAGTTCTATGGTGCTTGGAAATCCTCTGTTATTTGAAGGTAAAATGTACCTGTTTAAGTATCAAGGGCAGCAGGGTTTCATTTGGGAATGTCACCTTGCACATGTATAAAAGGATAAGGATACAGTGAGATAAGAAAGCACAACAAGTCCAAATGTATCACAAACTCACATTTTTTTCCTAATTAAAAGGAAATTCTCCTTGCAAGATCCTCTTTCCAATAGATTTATCTCATTTATCTTCCCCTCCCCCTCCTTTTAAATAAGTATTCAAGCACCACTAATTTACTCCCCTAAAGTGTGCAGACAGATATACAAAGTCTGAAAGACAAAAATGGATCAAATCATAGTTCCAGTAGGCCACAGCAGGGGAGAAGGTAAATGTGGATCCCTCCTGCCTCCCGTTCCCTTTCATCCTCTCTGCAGGTGCCATTGTTATTGCTGGGAATTAATACAGAGAGTTACAGGAGATTTGAAACTAATAATTCAGACAGAAAAGAAAAAGAAGTAATATCATTCTCCCTTGCTCATGGCAATTTTATAGACCACTTATTATATTTCATCCATTGTGTGATTTACAGGGACTTCTTTTATCTAGCCAGCCATCAGGATCAAAACAGTAATAAAGCTCTGTTGACAAGTACCACAAAGCTGACTTTGTTCTAAGAGTCCATCTTGAATTTCTGCTTGGTCATAGTCAGAGAGCAAATAAATACAATGAGGATCTCCTGGGGCAGAATTACTGTTCATTTTAGCTATGTTAAAAGGCTAGTGCTATTTAGACCCTTGAAATGATTCAGAAGAACTAATGCAATCCATTCCTTTCTAAAGTATTTCCACATGGCTACCTTTACCAGGAAACTAAAAATGTGCTGTAGCTGAAGAAATGAGAATGAAAGTATGTTTTCATCTTGTGAATTTTCAAGCCTCTGTAAGTTGGAGGGTGAACAACTATTTACATTATGCTTGTGGATTTTCTGAAAACTCATTGCAGCTTCATGTAAATGGTTCAGATCTGAGTCTGATCAGTTTAATGTGTTCAGGCTGCTGAAACCTGCTGTATGTGTTAAGCTCTTTCAGTGTCCTAGGGCCAGTACAGTGATCACATGGAATTAAAACTGGTAAAGAAAGAGGAGGAATTACTTTCTCCCTTTTTCTTGCAACCAGTCATTGTGAGGGATATGAAAAGATAATAGGATTGATCCTTCTCTCACATCAATGTAAATCACATTCAGGTCAATGGGCCTAGTGGCAAACAGCAGGCACTCTCATTTTATGATGGGAGGCTCATCTCCAGTGGCCGTAGGTTGACACAAGTGAAAACAGAATGAGGTCTATCTGCTTAACAACTCTTGACATATCTGTGAGTAGAGAAAACTGCATTAGTTGGAAAGTTTATCAGATTTTTTATGTGAGTGCAAGCTGTTTTACAATGAAATTGGAGGGCAAGTTCTGAGGAAAGCAGATTCCTTCCCAGTATACAGAGTCATTGCATGAAGATTTAATGTCATGCTTCTCCCTGATAGTTTATGAGTATTCTGAGATTCATGATGCATCTCTTTATGACAGCTTCTGTATAAGGGACATTCTGTGTTTAAGAATAAAATTTGGAGTAAATTTTCAATCTCTTCTCTGCTTGTTCAGTAATTTATATCAGTGCAAAGTAGGTCTTAAATACTACTGTTCTGATTTAATAGTGTGACCTGGCTAAAATGACCACACACAGGATGGAATAGTGGAGGTTCATTTGTGTAAGTACCAGTGAGTTTTTGTGAGGTACCATTTCGTCTGCATACATTTTTTGCTGACATATACCTGGTTTGAATTTCACACCAGAAGACTAGTATGGGCCTGATTCTGATTTCAGTTACATTAGTGTAAATCTGAAGCATCTCCCAAGAGATCAGTCAAGTTACACCAGCACAAGATCAATATAAATAAGTACAGCATAAGGCCAGGTGACTTTAAGATATTGCACAATGTGACCTTGTAACTTAGAATAGTCTGACATAACCAAAACCAAATCCATCAGCATTCTTTTCATGGCAATAATCTGAACACAGGCAGATTTTACTATACTGACTTCCTGAACTGCCTTGGAGAGACCCCAAGAGAAGCCTCAGAGTGACCTTGTTGCACAATCTTATTGCCAATGAAAATGATCTGTCCGTCATCTGTAATTGCAGTGCACTGGATACAGGGCAGGGATCCTGGTCTGTGCCTATGGGGTACTGTGAGTCAGCATATTAGGGAAATGTAAGCCTAACTTTTTATTTGTGTGTTGGATCACCTCTTTTTGTCTTTATTATAGTAGCACCTGGATTCTCTGAATAGTCATTAAATCCAAAATTAGGTGGCAATAGGAGAATAATAAACTTTTTTTTCCAACCCTGTAATCAACATGAATCATGATATTGCTTCCTAACTGGAGTTTGTTGTTGGGTAATGCATAGTCAGCAGACCATAGGGTTAGCTTTTCACCTCTTAAAATACATTGGGGTTATATTGTTGTTTACTTATAATTTGGCTTAAGTGTTGGTACAGATAGCACACAAACCTCTTACAGCTACATGCTGCAACTCATCAGTACTGGTTAAAGCTCCCAGCCTTTCCCTTATGGCAAATTTTCAAGC